AATAATGCAGCATCAAACTTGGCTCTCTCAATATATAAAGGAGCAGTATGCTCATATATATTGCAGCATACAGACTAATAGTGCCCAAAAGATGTCTGTAATTTAATGATCTTCAAAAAAAAACCAAATTTATTGTGGGGGTTAGCTTATAAAACCTGTTCCATCATCTACTGTCTGCAAATGGAGATCCAGGAAAACCAGTTTAAAGTCTTAAAACTTAAAACTGGAAAGCCAAAAGCATGGATTCCTGACACTGAAGGCCTAACAAAGAGGAGTGACAGGAGACAACTTCTCATCTCAAATAATCACAGGAGACAACTTCTCACCTCAAATAATCAGGCAGAGTTAAATCAAACTTACTAAAAAATTTTTCTCTCCAGAACTTCCCATTTACACACAGTTGTACTTTCAATAGTTTTAATTGCTAACGATGGTTACCCAAAGGGATGTGGTTCCTGAACATCTAAGATGTATTGGGGGAGAAAGAGAGACTACATTCACATAGATTTTATCACAGTATATATATATCATTATATATATATATATATACACTCATTAGTTATAGTTAATCTCTCACTATGCTTAATATATAAATTATTATATATAAATTAAACTTTATTATAGGTATGTATATAGAGACGAAGATATCAAAAACATATAGAATTTGTACGATGAGCAATTTCAGGTATCTTCTGAGGATCTTGAAACAAACCCTCCACAGTAAGAATGACTACTAAGCAGGGCTGGGGTTATGACTCAGCAGTACAGGGCTCACCTGGCACGTGCAAGGTCCTGGGTTCAATCCTCAGCACCACATAAAAATAAATAAATAAATAAACAAATAAAGTAAAAAAAAATGTTTAAAAAAAAAAGAGAATGACTACAAGGCAAGCTTATAGTGGGTTAGATCATACCCACCAACCACGGGTAATACTATTACTTTCTTCAATCTACTCATTCCAATGCTTGGCTCCTACAGATACAACCTCACAGACACATCAAGAAATAATATTTAAATAGCAATAAGGGCATCCTGTAACCCAATCAAGGTTACACATAAAATTAACTTCACAATGTCAAGGACTTAATCCACTTGCCTTGCGTGCTTCTCTGGTGTTATACTTCAGCATTCAGGGAAGCAAGGACTCATCACTGGTAAACAGCCATAACAACACTACCTGAATATTACACTTTCTAGAAATTCCTTCTACTAGATTAAGAACTTCATCACTTTCAAAATAAGCCTCACAGAAAGTCTCAGAACACAGGAGAAATGCAGACGACTTTTGAGCTACAACATAACATGGGGAGTCTCTACTCCAATTATCAATAGTGTCCTGCTTTCCTCCAAACCCTCTTGAACCCTGTCTTCACTATCAGTGGTCCTATTGGCATTCTAGTCTACTGAGCTTCCATCAGAATTGGCCATTAAGCTGCATCTGCAACAATCTAAAGCACTTCCCGCTTACATTGCTAAACATCTCAAAATTTCTCCCCCAAATTCCAAAAGTTTACATAAATTTCTGAACCACATGGTCAGGTTGGTCACAACAATGACACCACTCCTGGTACTGACTTTCTTAGTCAGCTTTTATGTTGCTGTGACTTAAAAGCTCACCAGGACAATTTTAGGAGAGGAAACTTTACTTAGGAGCTCACAATCTCAGAGGTTTCATTCCACAGGAGACTGCCTCCATTCCTCAGGACTCTAGATGAAACAGAACA